CTCCTGTGTTTTGCAGCTAAAATAGAGACTTTCTGTCATCTTGTGGCTAAAAGGCAAGATTGCCACCCTGCACAGATTAATTTTTGGTGAATTCCTGCCATTCATGGATAATGAAGGAATCCTACAATTCCCACTTAAATCACGGTGTTCTGAATGCTAGCAATAAACACTGGCCAGCAATGCCTACATCTCAAGTAGGAACTTCAAAAAAGTCATAGGTTACATTGTTATGATCGACATTGTCACAGAGACTTTGAGAAGGATCAGATGTTAGGTCTCTCTCCTTTGAAATCCTAAGTTGTTCTGCTCACTTCTCAGGATGGCATCAACATAATATGTAGTGGTTATGGCATTCCTGTAACCCCTTTCAGACCCATACACAACGTGAAAAATCAAGCTAGTCTCAGAACCTATCAGCAATTGTTGTAAAATCTCATCAGTTTCACAAATGTTCTCAGGAAGGAAATCTGATGTACTTACCCTGTCTGGCCTACATGTGACTTCAGACCCACAGCAATGTGATTCACTCTTCACAGCTCTTTGAAGGGATCTAGTAAGCCTTCAATCTATAATGAACACATTTTTGAAAAACACTCAAGAGCATTAAGGAATGGACAACAGACACTGACATTGCCATTGGCAAACATAGCCCGGCTAAAAGAACAAATCTACTAGAATATTATATCTCTTTTCACAGTTGCTCCACACTCTGATAAGAACTGCTCCACTCCAATCATATCCATCATTCTGGAGGGAAGCACTATCCATTATAAATGTCACTGATTAGACGTGTGTGTGTGTGTGTGTGTGTCTGCATGCACGCATGTTTGCGTGTATGTGAACGTGTGTTTACTCAGGTGAACGTATGCGCACACTGGAGAGGGGTATACACTGATCAGTGAGTGAGGGAACGAACGGGCCCTTATTTCTTCCAGGGCTGTGTGAAGATTTGGTCAGTTAGTGGTGAAGAGAGGAATTGGAAATAAATGAGGGATTTTTTTTTTCCAAAAAGCCTTAAAGAGTGCACTGGTGAAGAAGCCCCAGGTTAGATTGCTCGCGTGCTTGGCATTGCTTGTTGAGTGAGTTGGCATTGGCGCTGATGTGTTGCTGTGATGCAGATTTTAACATTTCAGTACATTGCTGCTGTGTATGAGTATTCTATGCTGTATGTGTCTGTGTAACCCAATGGGCCTTTACCTCTTTAAACACATGGGGCATTATTTAAGAATCTTTTTGCACAGAAGCAGACCATTTGGTCCATCTGGTCTATGTCAGCTCTTTGAAAGACATATCCAATTAATCCAATTCTCTTGCTCAGTCCCCACAGCCTTATCTTTTCTTTCTCCTTCTCAAGCATTTCTCCAATGGCCGCTTTGAAAATTACAATTAAATTTACATCCACCACCCTTTTCAGACAAGGCACTCCGGAACATCATAATCTAAAAAAAATTTGCCTCACATCCCCTCTGGTTCTTTAGCTAATTACCTTAAATCAGTGTCCTTTCATTACCAACTTTTCTGCCAGTGGAAACAGTTTCCACTCTCCATTGTATCAAAACCTGAAATAATTTGAAATATCCCTGCTAAATTTCCTCATCACTTTTCACACTAAATAATATAAATATTATATAAATTCCAGTTTATCTGCATTACCATGCTTAATAGGTAGATGAATTGGCCACAAGGGGTTGGCAGCAGAAGTGTTGGATTCAACATTGGGAGTTTCCCAAATCTTAACTACTGTCTCTTTATTTTTCTGGACTGAGACTTTTACAGAATTATGTGCAACAATGCATTAAGCCCAGGCAAATTTTATCCAATCAGTTACCACCATGATGCAGCAGACTGCCTATTTTATTTATCAATTTGCTGACAAAGCCAATACACAGGTAGCTAGGACATAGGAGCAGGAAAAGACCATTCAGCCCTTCTATCCTGTTCCACTAATCTAAAGGATCTGGCCCAAACTGGTTGTGACCTCAACTCCACTTTCCTGTCTCCCCATCACATGACTCGGAGGTTGATCAAAATACTACCTAACTCAGCCTTAAATAAGTTCAATGAATCGCCCCACCCCCCAAACACCCCATCCCCCAGCCCCATTTAAATATTGTGCAAATGCGATGGTGAGTTGCATCCTTGAAGCATATGGGAAGGTGCTCCTTCAAGACACTGTTAAAGGGAGCTCCAGGGTTTTGAACTGATTACACCCAGACACATGATGTAGGTACAACTGGACACATGGCCCAGAGATGCCACACATGTGATCCAGTTATACCCAGGACGTGAGATCAACCAATGCCTGAACACATGACTCAGTGACACCAACATGTGTGATGCTGACAGCCAGTAAATGCCCCTTATACCATAGACCAGAAGCTGGACTAGATAGAGATCCGGACCGACGAGACCAAGGAAACTTTGGCGAGTTGCAGGAGTGCATCTCATTGAGGTACATACTGTCATCACAAAGGTCACGGGCCAGAGACGTCTTTGGCTCCAGGGTTACTATGTACCAAGGTTTTCTGTAAGCTTTCTCTCTGTGTCACTTTGTACTTGGCCACACAGCTGTCTCATGGTCCAGGTACCTGCTTTGAGGGCTTCTCCAGTCAAGCTCTACTTGCACAGGTTTGTTTATTCAGTGGGAAGTAATTAAACAGCAGACATACATGCACCTTAGTGCCATAATATGCCCCTATGAATACATGAAATGGAAAAATATCATCATTTAAACAGCACTGAGGTTTGATCCATTGTTTTAATTTTAAAAACCCAAATAATTCCAAGAAAATTTCATATCCAATCTTAAATTGTTTAACTTAATTTTTCTGATTCTCATTAAGTGCTCTACTTTCTAAAAAGCATTCACAGGCATGTGTCATATGAAAACTTTTATTTTTCTTATTGTCAATGTTAACATCAAACACTCACTGGACAGGGACAGCACATGTTTAGAGATAGAGTAAAGCCTCCTGTACTCTTTTAAACTAAAAGTGAAGCCTCCTCTACACTATTCCCATCAAACCCTCCCAGTAGAGGGACAGCATGAGGTTAGATACAGAGTAAAGTTCTCTCTACGCTGCCCCTATCAAAACAGTCCCAGGACAAGAACAGCATGGGGTCAGATACAGAGTAAAGCTTCTCTACACTGTCCCCATCGAAACATTCCCAGGACAGGCACAGCACAGGGTGAGGTACAGAGCGAAGCTCCCTCTAGATCACCCTGATTATTTCTAACTCTAATTTCAGGAGGGCACCCTTCTAGTTCTGCCTGTGTAGCATTCCTTCCAGCAGCGATATTGATGGTATTTTGGATTAAAATTGTGCAGACACCCCATAATTAATGTTCTCATGTATCTCTGGGCTGCATCTGAATCCACATGTGCAGAGTTAAAGAGCAATGTGTCATGGTCAAGCTGGTGAATCTGTGGGCACCTGTGCTAACTTGCCCCAGGAATGCCTTTAAACGGTGCCCAGGACAGAGCAGCATAGAATTAACAAGAGGTTACTCATATCCAGGGACTGCATAGTTGCTTTGCATCCTGGAGATTGTGCACCCCTCCAAGGACTCCGCTCTCTCGTGAACTTATCAGCCTTAATCTGTCGTATTTCCCAAACTATGCATCCTTAATCTTGTTCCATGAAACATTCATGAATTATTGGTTAGACCATCGCTGAACCACTGTGGCCAATTCTGGGCACCACACTTTATTCTGGATGTCAAGGCCTTGGAGATGGTACTAGGTCATAGGATATCAATAATATTGAGACTCTGGAAAAACTGGGATCATGCTTCTTCAAGTAAAGATAATGGGTTTTGTTGGCAGCAACAAAGGTATCAGTTTTCTCCAACAGAACAATCAGTAACCAGAAGATTTAAGATCCTTTGTTTAAAAAAGCAGTGGGGAGATGAAAATAGAGAGATTCATACACTGAGTTAATCTGGAACATAATGCCTGAAAGAACGTACTGGGAAGGGGAGGTAGCATATTTAGTAGGAACTCGTACAATAATATTGGACAAATATTTGAAAAGGTAAAAAGTAATTTCAAGGGACTGGTGGATGACTCCTTCAAAGAGCTGGCACAGGCGTGATAGGCTGAATGGCCTCCGATTTGTATTGTATTACAGTACAGTTCTAATACTGTTAAAACTTCCGGGAGACTGCAAAGCACCAGGTCTGTGTAATCTAGAGATTGTGTCACCCCCAGTAACTGTGACCCCAAAACCCCTCACCCGGTGCTGACTTTCTGCCAGTTTCTGCATATCCCTTGGAGAATGCATGGCAGTAATCTCTGTCTAGAGAATGTGATGAAGACATGGACGTCAGGCAACCCGTGTAAGCATAAGATAGCTACCAATAAACCCAATGTGGAATTCAGGAGAAATCTCGCCGCCATGGGGTGGAGGTAAATAAAATGAATATATTTAAGGGGAAGCTTGGTAATTGTACAAGAGGGAAAGGCATAAAAGGATCTGCTGATAGGGTGAGATGAAGTCGGTTGGGTGGTTCATGGAGTTTAAATACCAGCATGGACAAGTTAGGCTGAATGGCCTGCTTTTGGGCTCTAATCTCTATTGAATATGATGTCAGCACTTCATGTCCTGTCATACATGTGCCCCACTTGTCGTCATGGTTACAGATGAGCACATTGGGATTTGCACCTCGGTGCCTCATTGCCAGCTCAGAGTCATTTATGTCCCTTTTTCCAATACTGGCTATCCTCAAGGAGAGGCAAGTGCCTTTACCTATACAGTGTAAAATTATACAGGGAACGTCCTCCTTCCAAACCTCCCACAAACTGGTCCATCACACAAGAACAGTCATTTGTAACAGAGTTGGCCAGATGTTAAGTGTTGGAGTTCATAACAGTTCAGTTTCCTGGAGTTTGGTGCTGGCTGTTGGGATTTGGGTTACACAGAGCCATTGTAAAAGTGTTGATGTGATCTCCCGCAACTGGCGCTTATTCTAATGGAACCTCTTTTCTTTGCTTCTGTAGATATGAGGACAACAAACCATTTCTCAAGTAAGATCTAGTGTTACAATGTCAAACCTAGTGCAGCTATTACCCGCTGTTGTCTGACCCTGTCGACTGCACCCTTCCTTTGTATGGTATTAACGATTGCAGCGTTCCTCGCTGTTTCTGGTGTATGAGTCACTGTTGCCAAGAGAATCAGAGAACATAAGAAATATGTCGATGGGTGTATTGTGTCCAAGAGCGTCACACTTTAAGAAGAATGTCAAAGCCTTGGAGAGGGCGTAAAGAAGGTCGGCTTTGGTTATGTAGATAGACTAGTGAAACAGCAGATGGCCCCTTTTGAAAAATGCAAGTTTGAGGGGCGATTGAACAGAGGAGACTGTGTGAGTTTTTCCTGAGTAATTAGGAGGATCCACAAACAGGAGAGTCAGTAACTACAGGACACAAGTTCATTATAATCAGCAAAAGGAATACAGGCAAAGGATGAGGAAAGTGGCTCTGGTGCATTGGTTAAAAGGGTGGGAAGCAGATTCAGTGATAATTTTGTCTTATTCCCAAGTACGAGAGTACTGAACAAGCCAGATATTTGTTAGAATCTTGCTTTATAGTCCATAATCTTTGAAAGATGTGTGGAAAAACCAAGGGTGAATCAACAAATGGCAGGATGAATGTAAACCCCAATAAAAATCTTTATTATACAAGCCTGAACAAAACAACTGCAAATCATAATTTCTAAACAACTGAAATGAAGATTCAAAACCATGAACACTATGTATACAACTTACTTATACCAACTAACTGGGGGAGAGGGTTTGGGTGAGGGGAAACTTGGCTTACAAAGCAGAAGGATATGGCAGCATTGCAGAGCACCAACTAGGATAGTACATCCAGAGTGAGACAGGAGGAGCATGTCTACATCCAAGTTCAGCTGGAAAAAGGGAAAGCAAAAGGAATGTTGGCCTTTTTTCAAAGGGAATGTAGTATAACAGCAAGGAGGCTTTGCCGAAACTATACGAAGTCTGACCACAACTGGAATACTGCGTGCAGTTTTGAGCCCCTTAACTTAGCAAAAATGTACTGGCTTTGAAGGCAGTCCTGAGATTGTCGTAAAAACGTAGTCCTTTAAGGAAGAAAATCTGCTGTCCTTACCCAGCCTGGCCTACATGTGACACCAACAATATGGTTGACTGCCCCTGAAATTGCCTAAACAGCCAGACAGTTTAAGCGCAAATAAGGATGGGAAACAAATGTTGACCTTTCCAGTGATGGCCACGTCCCAGTTAAGAAGGAAGAAAAATGTAAAAATGATGCAGTATTTACCCTTCTTCTACTCTTGGTCACTATTACCAGCCATGGGAGGTCAGGTGCATTGTAGGTTTGATCTAGTTATCCATGTCGGTGTAGCCTATCAACACTGGGGTAACAACTCTTATAAAGCCATGTTTATCTGACCTCATTACACAGTTCCCTTTGTTATATCTGACTTTCTTCTCTGCTGATTTGAAGTACATTTCCCCCAATCTGTACTCTTAACACAAAACTTAAAATGGAAGAAAACCTTTATTTTCAGGCCACCACGTAATTTACACCAAATGAAAGACTTCTTCAAGTGTAGCCACTGTTGTAAAGTAGGCAACATGGCAGCCACAAGCTCCCTCTGAGGGCAATATGATAATAAGCAGATAATCTGTTTTGGGTGGGACTGGTTAAGGGATAAATATTGCCAGAACACCAGACGAATATTTCATAATCTTTAAAGCACCATTGTGACATTAACATTTGCAGAAACCTTAGAAGGCAGTTCTCGGTTGAAATGCAGCATCCCCACCAGGGAACACTACTTTTGTGGGTGGGTCAGCTGGCTTTTGTGCTGAAGTGTTTGGTTTGGGACTCTTTTTATTCATTCACAAAATGTGGGCATTGCTGGCTGGGCCAGCGTTTGTAGCCCATTCCTAATTGCCCTTGAGAAGCCACCATCTTTAACCGCTGCAGTCCATGGGGTGGAGATAACCCCACCCCCCCACAACCCCCTGTGTTTTTAGGGAATGAGTTCAAGGATGTTGACTCATTGACATTGAAGGAACGGCAATATATTTCTGAGTCATGGTAACGTATGACTTGAACTCTCAATCTCCTGACTCAGAAGCAAGATGCTACTCACTAAGCTCTGGCTGATGTCAGTGGAATTAACAATGGGAGAGATGTTAATTCATTGGGTTGTGAAAATGTTTACAATATTACACAAAGTCAAAATGTTGCCACAAGCCTGCTGTTATACAGAGAGGGTCTAGAGACTTTTGGTCACCTTTCATTGAAAGCAGTTCAAAGAATGTTTGCTCAGTTTCGGGGATAACGGCATTGTCTTATGATCCAAGTTTTGGCAGGTTGTGCATACTCTCATTACCTTTTAGAAGAATGGGAGGCAATTTTATTGAAACGTATAAGAATCTGCAGAAACTTGAGAAGGTTAGATGCTGAGAGGATGTCTCCTCTCATGGGGAAATCTAGAACAAGGTAAACTAGTTTCAGAATAAATCATACAGAGATAGTAAGAACTGCAGATGCTGGAGTCAGAGATAACACAGTATGGAGCTGGAGGAACACAGCACGCCAGGCAGCATCAGAGGAGCAGGAAAGTTGATGTTTCAGGTCGAGACTCTTCTTCAGAAATGGGGAGGGGGAGGGGAGCTCAGAAATAAATAGAGAGGAGGGGTGGGACTGGGAAAGGTAGGTGGGATGGTGACAGGTGAGTGCAGGTAGGAGATTGGTCAGTGAGATGGGAGGTGCGGATAGGTGGGAGAGAAGATGGACAGGATGTGTCAGGTCAAAGAGGTGGGGATAAGAGGGAGGGTTCGACATGGGATGAGGCCGGGGATGGGGAGATTTTGAAACTGATAAAATCCACATTGAGACCATCAGGCTGTAGGGTTCGAAGGTGGAATATGAGGTGCTGCTCCTCCAGTTTCCAGGTGTCGTCATTGTGACACTGGAAGAGGCCCAGGATGGACATGTCACCCAAGGAGTGGGAGGGGGAGTTGAAATGGTTCACGTCTGGAAGGTGTTGTTTGTCGCGAACAGAGTACAGGTGCTCTGCAAAACGGTCTCCGAGCCTCCGCTTGGTCTCACCGATGCAGAGAAGGCCACATCGGGAGCAGCGGATGCAATAGACCAAGTTGATGGATGTGCAGGTGAACCTCTGTCTAATGTGGAAGGTTTGTTTGGTGCCTTGAATGGAGGTGAGGGGGGAGGTGTAGGGACAGGTGTAGCACTTCTTGCGGGAAAGGTGCCGGGGGTGGTGGGGAGTATGGAGCGGACGAGGGAATCGCAGAGAGATTGGTCCCTATGGAAGGCAGGTAGGGTGGGGAGGGAAATATATCTTTGATTGTGAAGTCGGATTTTAGGTGGCGTAAGTGGAGGAGAATGAGTCCTTTACTGAGGACTGACCATTCATCCTCAGTGAGGGGGTGGTCTGGAGGGATGGTGATCACCCGGCTGGGCTTGGGGCTGGGACTGGGTGTAGAGCTGGTGGCTGGGTTGGAGCTGGCTATGAGGGCAGAGTTAGTGACATCGTCAGCAACGTCGGTGGTGGGCGGGGTGACGGCTTCAGTGACGTCGGTCTTGTTGTCGGAAGTGACATCGTCCTTGATGTTGGCAGCGGGAGCGGCGTCCTTGATGTAGGTGGCCTCTCATCCCCACCTCCTTGACCTGACACATCCTGTCCATCTTCTCTCCCACCTACCCACTCCTCCCACCTCACTGACCAATCCCTACCACCCCCTACCTGTACTCCCCTGTCACTATCCCACCTACCTTCCCCAGCCCCACCTCTCCTCTCTCTGTTTATTTCTGAGCTCCCTGCCCACTCCCCCATTTCTGAAGAAAGGTCCTGACCTGAAACGTCAACTTTCCTGTTCCCCTGATGCTGCCTGGCCTGCTGTGTTCCTCCAGCTCCGCACTGTGTTATCTCTAGTTTCAGAATAAGAGGTCTTTCATTTAAGTCAGAAATTAGGAGCAATTTCTTTTTTAGAGGGTCATTAGTCTGTGGGATTCTCTTCCCCAGAGAGCAGTGGAGGCTGGATCATTGAATATTTTGGACAGATTTCTGATCAACAAGGGTTACGGGGGGCACAGTAAGGAAACTGGAGTTAAGGCTACATCAGATCACCAATAATCCTAAATGAATGGTGAACTCAAAGGAAAAAATAGCCTTCTCCTGGACCTAAGTCGTACGCTTTCATGTCCTATATGTTTGGGTAGGTTTAAATGGGAAAATATTGTAGCAGAAGTAATAACGCCATTAGGAAGGATTTGCCCCTGGGGTGAGAATCCAATTCTCTGAGAAAGGATGTGACTGGCATGTCAAGTACCGGGCACATTGTTTAATTGACTTGCTGAGGGAGTTTACTCCCTCATCCATTCAGCTATCCTTTCACATTTAGATTTACAGAATTTGTTGTCACTCACACCTTTCCTTGATGACTGGAAGTGTACTGAGGAGTCAGGGAAGCTGACAATAAACAATGTCACTAGCTAACTCCTATATGGCAGTTTGGGATCTCCTGCTGGTCTGTAAGCCCTTTTAAGTACAATTCGCCAAAATCAATTTATGTTTAGAAGGCAGGGCTCTGATGTTAATGTACCTTTTGGAGTTAAGCAGCTTAATGAAATAATAATATTTACAGGCGAGTATTTCTATTTGCTGTTCTCTCCAAAACTGTAACCACCTTCCCTTGAAGTAACTGCAAAGCTACAGAGTTTCCTCTCCCTCTCCATATGGTTGATAAGAGGTCTCTTGAAATCCATCATGCAGAAACTTACTGATCATTCTTTGTGTTGTCTTTTAGGTCCTGGGCTTTGGGTGCAGTCGCTCTCCTTTTCCTGCTGGGTCTCACCTGGGCATTTGGCCTGATGTTTATCAATGAGGAGTCCATGGTGATGGCCTACCTCTTCACAACGTTCAATGCCTTCCAGGGAATGTTCATCTTCATTTTTCACTGTGCCCTCCAGAAGAAAGTAAGGCTCCTCAAAAATTCCTTGAATTTAACCTGTGAGAATATTCGCTGAGATTTAGAAGATCGGGGTGATTTATTCATAGTTTTCGCAATATTTTAGGGAACAGCCAGAGTAGATGGAGAAGAAACTGTTTCTGCTGTTTACAAAATCTAGGTTCAGGTGCAAATCAGCACACACCTTTCAGGAGTGAAGTTAGGAAACAGCTTTACATTCTGAGGGTAGTAAAAGTTCGGCATTTCCCTCAGAGAACAATAGGTGATGATTTTTAATTATTCATTTTTAAATCTGAGATTGAAACATTTTGGTTAACTACAGGAGGTTCTGAGGAAGGGTCACCGGACCCGAAATGTTAACTCTGATTTCTGTTCACAGATGCTGCCAGACCTGCTGAGCTTTTCCAGCAACTTCTGTTTCTGTTCCTGATTTACAGCATCCGCAGTTCTTTTGGTTTTTATAATAACAGGGATTGGCTGGCTCACTCAGGCACACTAACTCCATGATTGGTTGCAGGACCTGCAAAGTTGGAAAAGCACAAAGAGTTCCCAATCCCTCCGCTTCTGCTGAGGGTGAGTGTGGGAGAGACATTGTCGGATAACTGCAGAATAAAGCTAGGCTAGACCTCAGGTTGCATCACCTTTGAATGCTGAAAGAGGGTGATCCATGTGTGCGTGGAACCAAGATGGCACCGCAGTATTCCTATCCAGAGAGGAACATTGGAGGGAGTCATCACAACAATGGCATAGCCTTCCTTCAGAAGGCGCTATATCTAGCAAAAAGGAATTTTAAAAAATGTTGACAAGCTGAAAAGAAGTGACAAGAGGCTCTTAAGGAACATAGTGTACAGCGTGGACATATTGGGCCAAATGGCCTGCTTCTGTGCTGCAAAGACTGTAAAAATATGTCAAATGCAATTATGTTGCAGGGATGAAGTGCATAATTGTTGTCACAGCGCCACATCCCAGTGTCAAAGGTTTTTTCAGTGAGAGGCATATATCACCAAGTGGATCAAGAAAGAGGAGTTTAATCTTTTCACTAAGGTGCTCCTCCTTTCAATCGACATTTCTCTTTCAATGAGAAGCAATTTTGTTAGTAATGATGATCAAGGGGTTGGTTTTGAAGTGTTTCTGGCTGTGTAATTACATGCAAAATCAATAATCCATGTTTGAGGGTATTTAACAAGTGCATAAATTCTACGTGATCAAGATCAATAACGAAAGTCATGCAGTGATGCATCCCATGATCGAACAATGTGCCTCCTGGATCTGTATAACCAAATGTACAAAAAGGTGTGAGTGGAGAGGCTTAGTCCATTGAAATTTTATACAAGGGAAGTGAGTGGAACGTGTTTCATCCCCCGAGAATCCAGTGGAGCATGGTTTGAATGAGTTTGATCCAAGCATCACTGATCCTGAATCCATGTTAAACAAATTGCTGGCACTACTCTCTGCAACAGATGGTCGTGTATTATCACAGAGTGAATGGCAGCTTCATGTGAATCGCCAATGTTACAAGACTGTGTCCTCTCCAGTTAATGGGATGGGACATCAGAGAGACTCTGAGCATTTCCAAGTTGCATTGATGGTCATGGAATTTTGCCCCAATAATATAAAAGATAATAATCAATTATATGCCCTGTCAATTAATTTCTAGGCAAGTAAAATTAGATAGTAGCCCATTTTACAGCATCCCCCGTGTTAATAATTCCCATCCCACCAACTACCGTCAAGTGGACACTGCAAATCCCCCATGGCCGGTATTGTGTTTCAACAACAACAACTTACATTTATATACCACCTTTAACCCAACAAAACATCTCAAGGCTCTAAATAGGTACAAGTTAAACTAGATTTGACCCTAAACTGTATAAGTAGATATTGGGACAGGATTTCTAGTCAAAGAGGCAGGTTTTAAGGAGGATCTTAAAGGTGGAGATAGAGGGAGAGGTGAAGAGACAGAGAGGTCTTGAGAGAGGCTTCCAGAGCTGAGGGCTGCTGAAACCACAAGCTTCAATAGTGGAACACTGGAAAAAGTGCATGCTGAAGGGACCAGAATTAAAGGAGCGCAGATACCTTGGTGGGTTGTGGGACTGGGGGAGATTAGAGAGGTGGGGAAATGTGAAGTCCTGAGGAAGCTGGAAACAAGGATGAGAATTTAAATTTTGCGTTGTAACTGGACTGGGAGCCCAGTGTGGGTCAGAGAGCGTGGGACAAACAGAACTTGCAGTGAGTCAGAATTTGGGCAGCAGATGTTTAGATGGACTCAGGTTTCTGGAGAATGGAAGGCTGAGCAGGGGGACTTTGGGATGGTCAATCCAGGGGCAACGAAAGCAAGGATGACGGTTTCAGCAGAGTTGAAGGTCATATTCAGTGATGTTGAGGCAGAGGCAGAGAGAGAGAGATTGAGACGGTAGCCTCAGACTGTTCCCAGGGCTGGCAATCATAGATATGAAATGATCAAGGCCAGGATCACACTCAACAGCCTGGCACGCCTCCCAGTTTCCAGCCTGGTGACAGCTGCTGCTTAATAAACCAGAGGCAAATGCTTTAATTGCGCTGACAGACTGCCATCTGATTTACTCAGTTTTACTCCACTGCGAAGTGGGAAGGATTGTTTTGACCTGGCTCCTCGCAGCTGGTTTGCTGCACTCTGAAGCCTGTGGGATGAGGGAGACGGCAGATATTAAAGCAGTCAGCAGAAAAGCAAACAGTTAGAGGAGAAGCAAGTCTGAGGGGACACCGGGCTCCAGGCATTGTCCACTTGCACTTTTCAGCCTTTGATCAACCTCTGACTACTACCTTGAAGTAGAAGCTTAGCATCCCCAAGTTATAGAAACAAGTAACACGAGGAGACCATTAAACCTCCGAGCCTGTCCTATCATTCAGTAAGATCATAGCTGATTTTAACCTCAAAACTACAATTCTGTATATCCCCTGATAATCTTTCATCTCCTTGATCATCAAAAATCTGTCCCCGCCTTAAAACTATTTCAAGATTCTGCATCCACTGCCTTTTGAGGAAAGGAATTCCAAAGACTCGGAATCCTCTGGGAAAAAAAAATTCCTCTTCTCTGTTTATATATTGGCAGCCCCTCATTTTTAAATTATGAACCTGAGTTCTGGTTTCTCCTTTCCACATCCGCCTGGAGAAGTCCCCTTATATGTTTCAATTAAGTCATCTCTGACTCTTCTAAACTCCAGAGGATACAAGCCAAGGCTGTCTAACCTTTCCCCATCAGGCAATCAACTTATTTTAGGTATTAGTCTAGTAAACCTTCTTTGAATGCTTTACTGCATTAACATCTTTCTATAAATACGGTGACCAGATTTGTACATAGTACTCCAGATGCAGTCTCACCATGTTGAAGTAGGCTGCCTTATTTTTAGGTCAGTTGCCCAGCAAAGGAACAATTACGGACAATTCTGAAGAAACTCAACAGGTCTGGTAGCATCCCAGGAGAGAGAAACAGAAAATTTCTAGTCCAGTGTGACATTTCTTCAGAACTGAAGAAGTCAAACCAGATTTGAAACATTAACTGTTAATGCCATTTAATCACTGATGAACGAGGCCCCAATATAATACTTGCAATGAAAGGTGTGTGATATATTATAAACATCAATCCTTTTGGAGTTTGGATTTTAAACCAGTGGCATATTGGTTTGGTATATTCGTATGAAGGAATTTAATAATTAACCAGATCATTCTTTTCAGAAGCATGATTTCAAACTAGTTTGTGTAAAAGAGTAGATGACCTTGGGCCTCCAGAGCTGTTAAAGGGAGTTCATTTATAGATATTTTCTAATCAGTCTGTTCAGAGATGTTATGATACACCACTGGAGTAGTTGGGACTTGAACCTATTGCCTCCTGGTGCAGAAGGTAGGGGCACTACCACTGCACCACAAGAACTTCAAGTATTTATATTGTGGTGTTTATGCAGGAGAGAAAAGATACACTAAGCCTGAAGTTTAATAGAGGCTAAGATGAGCAAGTTTTTTTAAAATTCATTTAAAAGCTATTGAATTCATTTCAAAAGAGACTCGATATGTTAGACACAAGAATAGAAAAAGGAGTCTGTTCAGAGCAGTTAAGCGAATATGTTAGTATGGTGTAAGGGTTTCAGCACTTCCAGACCAGGGGCGTTTGGTTGGAAATCTTTATTGGCTATTCAAAGCTGAGAGAGTCTAAGCTCTCAGTCATGTAAGTCAAAAGGAAAAGCTTCACAGCTCACGGGACCAAAACTGAAAAGAAGCAGCAAAGTCAACCTACAGGTATGATAGGAAAGCAACATTACTCTAGATTTTTATTAACTGTAAATTGCTATTGTTGAGGAATAAATGGGATTTTGATTTGTGGATTGTTTGAAATATTTTAAACTGTGTTATATTTAGATAGCTTGGTTTGTTTTATACATTGTTCTTTTATGTAATGAATTGAAAATGCACTGACTTCAGGGGTGGCATTGTGGCTCAGTGGTTAGCACTGTTGCCTCACAGTGCCAGGGACCTGGGCTCAATTCCACCCTTGGACGACTGTCTGTGTGGAGTTTGCATATTCTCCCCATGTCTGCATGGATTTCCTCCCACAGTCCAAAGATGTGCAGGCTAGGTGGATTGGCCATGCTAAATTGCCCATAGTGTTCAGGGGTGTGCAGATTAGGTGGGTTATGGAGAATGGGTCTGAGTGGGATGTTGTGAGGGTTGGTGTGGACTTGTCAGACCAAAGGGACTGTTTCCACACTGTAGGGATTCTATGATCTGATCTGTGAATTTCTATTTTCTTTTTAAAAAGAAATCTGCAGCTTTATTTGCTTATATTTCAGTGAAAGACCACCAAGTTTAAAAAAAAAACCCACAGATTATGGTCTATAAGCCAATTTCATTCAGCAATATATCTTGTCCAGGAGTAATGTCACCTGGGATCATAACACACTGATCTGCTAGGTTTCAAAATAAACACTGACCAGTCACAGGCCACAATGTATAGACCGCAATATAAACAATAACCAACTAAGCCCCGATATAACCACTTAGTACGGGGGGATGGACTGTCTCAAATTTTCCTGCACTCTTTCACAATTTGGCTTTTCATCCCACATTCTGGGAAACATCCTGGATCTTTTCTCTGCGTCTATCAGCTTTATGTCTACACATGCGTCAGCCCCAGAAATACTGTGGCTTAAAACTTTGGTGCTTTCCAGTAAGTGTCCAGACAGTGTTTTACAAGGGCAGTTCACCCTAGCTGACCAGTCAGACCCAATAAAAACCAACTAGGCTTCAATAAAAGCATGACTAACTGGGCTGCAATAGAAACACTGACCAGCTACGCCCCAATACAAACACCACCCACCAGGCCCCAACAGAAACTCTATAAAATAGACCTCAATAGAAACACTGACCGGAGAAGCCTCAAAGCAATTTTTATGTCGTTCTTTCATGGGATGTGGCGTCATTGGCAAGCTTGGCGTTTGTTGCTCATTTCTAACATTCCTTGGACTGAGTGGATTGCTAGAACATTTCAGGGGGGAGTTAAGAGTCAGCCACATTGTTTTGGGTCTGGAGTCACATGTAGGCTAGACTGATATGGATGGCACCTTCACTAAAATATACTAGTGAACCATCACTGACAGTAGATTCCAGGTTTTAATCCCAGAATTTACATTCCACAAGCTGTCCCGGTATGTGTTGAGCTTGTGTCCCCATAGAGTATGGACCTGAAGATTACTAGTCCAATGACCATCAAAGCCTCTTCATCCTGCTATGAGCTGCATCCAATCTCTGCTAGAAAGAACTGCCCTGATACTACATAGACCCATGGATCACAGCACAGTGTTAGCAAGCTGTCCTACCGTAACTTCTTTTTTTCTCCGTGTTTCTGTGCTCAGGTCCACAAGGAATATAGTAAGTGCCTGCGGCATGCCCATTGCTGCAGCCGCCCCTCTGCTGGGGTCTCCCATGGCAACCTGAAGACATCCACCATCCGGAACAATAGCCGGTATTACACTGGTACTCAGGTACAGAACGCTGCGGCAAGCAGGAGGATGGCTGAAAAGGTCATTTTTTGACAGGGTCATATAAAGTTGAATCGTGTTGTTGTCCATTTTCTCAGACGATGGGTTCTTCAGCTAATTCAGCCTTTTGGGGTGTGGGGAGACATGATGGATCGACGAAAGAAAGCCAAACATTTCATCAGTGGGGATGGGGGGGTGCGTGGGGTGATGGTGAGTTGATATTGGCGGGTGACCTTTCCCCACCACTGATCTGCAGTAACCCCCATCCCAAGGTGAGGTGACAATTTCTCCTCACCCCAGAAACTGTCCCCTTGGTAAATATGGGAACCACCATTCACAACTTAGAATCCCTACAGTATGGAAACAGGCCATTCACCCCACAAGTCCACACCAACCCTCTGAAGAGCAATCCACCCAGACCCATTCCCCTACATTTCCCATTTCTAACCCACCTAACCTGCACATCTTTGGACTGTGGGAGGAAACAGGAGCATCCGGAGGAAACCCATGCAGACAAGGGGAGAATGCACAAACTCCACACAGTTGCCTGAGTTTGGAATCAAACCTGGGTCCCTGATGCTGTGAGGCAGTAATGCTAACCACTGAGCCACTGTGCAGCCCCACTTCCCATTTGTTTCTGACATTGTCAACAGCCCCTGCCATGAACCTGTTTCCAATTGCTCAATGTCAGCAACTTGGCACAGCATGGAAAGTGATTAAACTCGATTTGTTTTAAAGCAGTCAGTTTTATCCCTCATTTCAAAAACAGCTGTCACAGTTGTTTGAACAGCAGGACCCCAAATGCATGCAATTTCCAGGGATAATCCAACCATTGCTCTAAATTATTGATGCAAGAGTGGTACAGCCCTGCATTGTTGCTGGATGGTTGGTACAGCCTCAGGCCTGTTGCTGTGTCGATGGTACAGCCTCAGGACTGTTGCTAGGTCAGTGGGGCAGCCTCAGGCCTGTTGCTAGATTGTTGGTGCAGCCTCAGACCTATTGCTATGTCGATGGTACAGCCTCAGGACTGTTGCTAGTTCAGTGGGGCAGCCTCAGGCCTATTGCTATGTCGATGGCACAGCCTCAGGACTGTTGCTAGGTCAGTGGTGCAGCCTCAAGCCTGTTGCTGGGTCAGTGCTGCAATTTTGGTCTGTTGTTAGGTAGTCGGTTAACCTTGGGCTGTTGCTGGATCAATGCTGCAGCCTCAGGCCTGCTGCTAAGTAAATAGCCCTTAGCCCAGTCTGTTCAGTGTGCTTCACAGTTGTTTCACTGTTCCAGTGTTTTGACCCTCTCGTGTGGTGGAATAGAGGAGTCAGAGCTGAGAAAGTGGGAAGGAATGCGGGCATGCCTTTGGTTCTATCTAGCTCCCATTTATCCGCCAGCACTGTCCAATAGAACTTCTGTTTTACAATCTCGTGGCAGGCGGGGTTCGGCCTCATTCAACCTTGTCCTTTTCACTTGAACAAACGCCAGTAGCCATCGTCTGAGAAACCGTGGTGATGTACCGTGTTCTTGCTCTCCAATGTCCGCACCTTTCGCTTTTGCAGTGCAACTCTTTGTCCTTGTCCCTGCTCTGTACTGTTTGTTTGTTCAATGTCTCCCTCTGAGGAGCTTAGTCACCTACATGTACACCTGTACGAGATGAGCAGTCTGCACATAGGAACCACTATAATGAGGAGAGTTACTGCTGCCTGATGGCAGTGGATTTTTTTCAATGTTTTTCAGAGGGAGGAGGGGGACTTCCAGTAGAATGGGACTGGGGAGTTACATATAATAGAATGAAATGTGACTTAACCCAAGACCCTACTAGAATAAGGCAAAGGGACAGGGAAGATACCTATGCTTATTAGAATAGTGTGACGAGGATATAAAGACATAAAGCCATTACAGTAGTGTTGGAGATACCAGTAATTCAGTTGGACATTGAACCAATTTTTATTCAACTTCTGTAGAGTGAGACTTGTGACTATCTCTTTACCAACACCCAATACATTTTCTTATGGAATGTAAGTATCATTGGCAAGGTTGGCATTTGTTGCTTATCCCTCGTTGCCCTTGACCTGAAGCTTGCTGGGATCATTTCAGGAACCAGTTAAGCGTCACCACATTCCTGCGGGTCTGGACTCTTATGTAGGCTGGACTGGGTAAGGATGGTAGATTTCCTTCATTGGACGACATTAGTGAACCAGGTGGATTTTTAAACAATATTGTTAAGACAAGATTTGTTTCTGGATTTATTAATTGAATTCTACCACCCGCAATGGTGGGATTTGAACCAAATGTTCCCAGAGCATATAGGCTAGGTCTCTGGATTAGTAACCCAGTGATATTATCATTATACCACCATCACCATTGTAGTGAGAAGGGCATTAGTAAGAACGACAATCCCTCTACTCTCCTAAACCTTGTGTTACCAAGGAAAGGAGGCCCAGCAAGGCAACCTAACCAAGTGTTGTGACTCCTTCTGATGCTGGGTGACAACTGTGTGGCATTCAACATTGGCTAGTACAGCAAAAGGTCTTCCTCTCCCACACTAGTCTCAGCAACCCCTGTAGTTTCCTACATTTAAAGAGGATAATGACAACAACTTTCAATACAGTCTATGAGTTACAGCTCATGATGAATGGCAGATTATACAACAGCAGTTTATGGAAAGTTGATGTGTGTAAATTGCCTATCATGTGTCCTATATTAGAACAGTTCAACGCTTCTGAAGTAAATCAGTAGCTGAAACTAGACACTGGTCTAATGTGGAGGAGGAAAACCCCTTCCTGGTCTAAATGAAAGTGTCACTTTAACAAGATATAGTTTATCACACATTACTATTTACAGGTTACTTTGACGTATTTGACATTGTTACAGAGACTTTGAGGGAGGTTAGTTGTTAGATCTAATTCCTTGGAGATCCTAAGCTGTTCTGACCACAACTCCCCACAACATCATCACTGTTGGTGATGATTATGGCAATCTTTCATGGGATCATCCCAATAGACAGGGGCCTCAGAGAGGGCTTTCCACTGGGAAGAACCAGCTGTCAGGGATGTCCTGGGGATAATCCCATGCCAAGGGATTTCAGACATGCATCAAGTGCTGCTGTTGCTTGCTCGAATAGAATTGTCTGCTACTGCCAGTCTATTTCTCCAACTGTCGTCCAGTCCAATTCCCCATTCCCCTGCCTGGCAGCAAAGTTTAGGCCACAAACTAACACACTGCGACCTCCATTTACAGAGCCGGATCCGGAGGATGTGGAATGACACAGTTCGTAAGCAGTCGGAATCTTCCTTCATGGCGGGAGACGTCAACAGCACTCCAACCCTAAACCGAGGTGACCTTCCAAACAATGGCTTGGAGGCTCTCAGACCCTGTTGACAAATTCAATGGGTGTCATAGATGGGAGGGGGTGGCATGATTTGTCGTGGGAGCTTAATGATTTGTCTATGTGGAGGTGGCAGTAGGTTTGCAGGCACAGCATTCGATAATGCCAGTACTCTTCAATGATCATTAATACTAGAGAACCACTCCCTGCCAAGGGTCCCTGGCAGTCTGACCCTTGAACAGCAGATACCTCATCTCAAAGGCAGAGGCACTACCCATTACACTACCAAACCTCCCTGAGTTCTTGTCTCTGACTTATTGGAACTATTTTCTGCCATTTTCCAGCACCAAGGTACAAGCTCAGGTTCACCTAAAAGATGGACTATGAAAAGAATAGAATGGAAAGATTAGGGATTTGTGATACACAAATCTTTAAAAGTAGTGGTAAGGGGTGGGGTAAAGGTTGCTAAAGATGTAAAACAAATGATACACTGGATTGTGAGTGTATAAGGAGGGCTACTGAAAACAACCTGTATACTCTTGATTCCTGCACCAGCCAGAAAGGTCATAGCTGATCATCGACCCCAGGTCTAATTGCCCCACCAGATACCCACAGTCCTCAAATTCCCCTGGTCTCTGCCTATTCTTCTGGAAGCCAATTTTCATGAAAACTGTTCTGAGAGTAACTGAACTAAAAGAACTTTAGCAATGTCTGCTTCAGTGTCAGAATTCAAGAATCTCTAGTATTTTGCCTTTGTCATTGTCCTTTTCCCTCACCACCTCCTCTCTCCCTCACTTCCTGTCTCTCTCCCTCACCTCCTCATGTCATCAAACCACACCCTCTCTCTCTATGACATTCTGTAGAATCACAGAGTCCCTATAGTGCAGATAGAAGCCATTTGGCCCATCGAGTCTGCATTGACCTCCAAAGAGCATCCCACCTGCTCAGCCTATCCCCGTAACCCCGCATTTACCATAGCTAGCCCACCTAGTCTTCACAACCCTGGACACTGCAGGCAATGTAGCAAGACCAATCCACCTAACCTGCACGTCTTTGCACTGTGGGAGGAAACCAGAGCACCCAGAGGAAATCCATACAGACTCAGTGAGAGCGTGAAGACTCCACACAGACTGTCACCCAATGCTGGAATCAAACCCGAGTCCTTGGTGCTGAGGAAACAGTGCTATACCCTATGCCACCATGCCAAGCCCACACACGCCCCCATCACACCCTCCCTTCTTTCCCTCACTGCCTCCTTTTTCTACAGCTCAACGTCTTAAGTCTCTCCCTCACCTCCTCCTGTACCTATCCTCACCACGTCATATCACTGTACCTCACTTCTTCTCTCTCCTCACTGCCTCCCTCACATACTCCCATCTCTCCCTGCCATGCCTCTCCCTTCTCCCTCCTATCTCCCCCTCACATCCTCCTGTCTTTCTCCCTCACACTCTCCTGTCTTTCTCACTTCCTCCCCTTACTCTGACTACCTCTTCTCTCCCCCTCACTTCCTCTATCCCCCTTTCATCCTCTCTCTCCCTCACTTGAAGTTATCTTTTTTTTCTTCTCCTACTAGGAACTATGGGCAACCACCTGCTGACCAATCCTGTTCTGCAGCCTCGTTCTGGTGCCAGTCCCTACAACACTCTCTTGGCTGAGTCCGTTGGCTACAGCGCTCCCTCACCCACCGTCTTCAGTTCACCAGGTTGGTTATGATATTTTCTTCAGGCCTCTCAGCCCCAAACAGCCCACAAGAAGAGCTGACACTGTGATTCAAACTCTATATTGGGCCCATCAATATCCTACAATCTCACATTAGAACTCGCTGTTCATCACATTGGCTTGTCAATGCTGAGCAGTCACGCCACAAACATCTAAAGATAGTTGGTGTCTGCAGAAGATTGAAAATGTAGGCAGAGCATCCTCACCACCGCTGATGTCCTACTCCACAGACCCTATGGTGCATTGGTGAGGAAGTGTTGTTTTGTTGGCGGTGCCATCTTTCAGATGAGGCATGGAAATGAGCACTGTTTGCCTTTTCGCGTCGACTTGAAGTATTATACTCTGCAGAGAAGACCTCAGTATTCTGTCCAATATTTACTCCTATTCTAGTGTCACTAGCTTAGAATATCTGGTCATTATTGCATCCATGTTTGTAGAATCCTGCTGTGTGCTTAACTTCCCTAAATTGCAACAAGCTGCAAACTTTAAAAGGTACTTGATGCAGTTTGTGGTGTGCTGAGGTCATAAAAATCACCTTATAGACTTTCTTCCATATTTACACCTGCAACTTTCAGAACAGGGGCTGCTGATAATTTAGCAACAGGGAATTCCTAAAGGCAACTGGGGAATGAGAGTACCTAAAGCTGAAAAGTGTGAAAGTCTCTTAATACTGTAGGCAATATAGTGGCCTGACCTTAAATCAAAGGGTCCTAATAACCAAATGGGGCAAATAATCTCTTTAACTGAGAAGGGGCCAAACCCTTGGACCTGGGTTTCTAAGGCTGGACATCTTGTAAGTTGCTGTACACTGCTGTGTGACGGGACCCTGTTGGGTCCAGTTCACTACTGGTTACATAAACAATCATACAAATATCAGACCTCTGATGAATTAATGATGGCTAACTATCACGGAAACTGTGTATATTCATAATTAACAATTAATGAAACTTGCTGCTGATGTGCTTGTGCCTGTGCTGAAAAATATTTACGCTCGTAATTAGTGCTCTGCGTTGATGTCTGATTGAAGTTGACTTGGTGATACCTCACTGTTTATTGTTGATTGTCTCCACATGCTTCCATATAGGGACCTACAGAGAGACAAGTACGTCAGTTAAACTTGCAATTCCTCAGTGAATGTAACTGTTTCATGCTTGGGCCTTAATATTTTGTCCTTTTCTAATATTTCTGAATTTCTCCAATTGGTTTGTTGGTTTATTTCTGTCGCATGGAAGGGTTTATGTTAACCCAACCACAATTGTGGCCTCTGAAGCTCCATCAAAATTGACTGCTTCTCCAAATCTTAGATCTTTATCAATTTTCTCCAGTTGAAAATCCTGTTGATCATTATCCAAAGCAGAATACAAATAATCCTAGGCCCCCAGTATTCTTAACTGAAGTGCTGGCTGTAACCATTTGCACTGTCTCTCAGTCCCAAGTTGGCAGCTGTTTGGAATATGTCTCTCAGTCTCAAGCTCACAGCTATTTGCAGTGCGTTTCTCAATCCCAAACTGACAACCGTTTATGGTGTGTTATTATAATAAGATGGCAGCCATTTTTAGTGTATCAGTCATCTTCGTGTCAATATTTTGCTGTAGATAATTTTGTCTTTCCTGGAAACACTGCTGACTCATCATTTTTACCCATACAACGAAGTTCATAATAAAGAAAACAGAACTTTGTAAAAATACCAAGGTGCCTGCACTACTGGCAAGATCTGTGGGTAAAACACAATTGTGTCAGCTTCACACTCAGTGTCACTGAAAGACTGGAAGGACGCCATTCAGCCCATTAAGTCTGTGCTAATTCTCTGCAGAACAAACCAGTCAGTTCATTCCCCAACATTATCCTTTCAAAAGGATTGTTTCTGCTTCTAACACATTTGTTAGTGTTTACCTTTCCTGTGTTGTGGACTGGCTAATATGAAGTTATTATTCACTTCTGCTTACCACCATGACAACCAGGCTGCATGATCTTCTGAAATGGAGCATTGAGATAAAAAGAGGAAAGATGGTTCTAGAGTCAAAGTAAAGAGTAGGAGTTGTTGCTGGATTTAATTTCTGAATGGAATATCACTTGATACTTACTTTTCCAGCCAATCTCCCAAACTTCTCCCAAGTCATTCTCATTCTATTCCCAATCACTTCCACATACTTCCCAAGCATTTCCATTCCACCCCCAATTGTTTTTCCATTCATTTCTCCATCACTCCCTATTATGCTTCCTAATTATTCCCCCCATGCCTTTTCAATTTTCCCTTCCCAATCACTCCCCATGTCCCTACCAATCATACTTCATGCCCCTCTTCCTGGCCACACCCAATCGCTCACCATCTTCCCTGTCCACCTATTCCAGGTGATACTTTTCAGGACAGTTAAAACCAGCTTTAAACATAGCTTTAAACCAATGCTTTCTCTTTCCTCATTCATTTGATGTCTTGTGTTTATTGACAGAGCACCCAGTGAACATCACGAGAGACCCATGTGCAGTGGACACACTGCCTCTGAACGGCAATTTCAACAACAGCTACTCCTTCCGAAACAATGACTTCAACAGGGACGGCACCCCTCTCACCGACTGCCGGCGCAACCTCAGCGATGCTGCCTTTGAGAAGATGATCATTTCCGAGCTCGTCCACAACAACCTGCGTCCTGGTGGCAAAACCCTCCCCGGGGAGCAGGGAGCGCCAAGCAGCAGCGGGGGCGGCAGTGGAGGAGGGGGAGGAGGAGGTGGAGGAGGAGGAGGAGGAGGAGCCACCAGCAGTGAAGATGATGCCATCGTCCCCGATGCCCCCTCGCTGACCCAGGAGGATAACATGGAGATCGAGCTGATGTACAAGGCTCTGGAGGAGCCCCTACTCCTACAACGCGCTCAGTCGCTCCTCTACCAAAGTGATCCTGAACTGGAGGAGTCCGAAAGTTACACTGCCGAAATAGCAGACGGCTTAGATGGCCAGCTGCCGTCCCCAAACAGAGACTCCCTGTACACTAGTATGACCAATCTGAGAGACTCCTCCTACCCTGACAGCAGCCCGGAGGTGATGGGTGAGACCATGCCCCATTCCCAGGGCAACGACGAGATCTACTACAGCTCCAGGCCCAACCTGGTGTTCAGGAGCCAGCTCCAGGCCTACTACCAGTCCAGGAGAGGCAGCAACAATGACTACGCCATCTCAGTCAACGTGGATGACTCTGTTGCGGAAGGTGATGGGCAAATGCAGTTGGTGACCAGTCTCTGAAACAAAAAGTGTTGGGGTGGGTTGGGAGTTGGGGGTGGGGGGAATGGTGTTGTTGGGACAATTCATGGACCCAGGGAAATGTTACCCTTAGTAATGGTGGAAACGTAGGGCTGTAATCTGTACAGAGGACCAACCTGGTTGGAGCAGGGCTGCCAGTTCTTTTATTTTTTGATTGTTGTCGTTGTTGCTCGACTCTTACAAACCTTGGGATCGCCTGATGAATCAATTACTACCTCCAGCCAACTTCTCCGCACCTCCAGGCGTGAGAATGTCGCCGGTTGTTACCTGGGGGTGGGGGGACAGGGATCGGGTGGTGAGAGAGAGAAGTGCTGGGGTTGCGGGGGGATGGGGCAGGATTCATCACCCATCTGGGGGAAGGAGTGGTAGTCGATGCAAGGAAACAGATCTGTGGCCCCATCTTGACAGATATTCCCTACGCCATATGGATTTGCTGGCCGAGGTGTGGAGTGTGCCAGCGGTGTACAAATGGAAGGACACCTCTCAGCTCCTGTGAAACACGACGAGGATTGGGGAGGCAGCTTTGACATCCAAACCTGAATCCGGCCAGCAATTTCCGAGTTCACCGTTGGAGTGCAAGCAGAGCCTCCTTCGATAAAGCTTCCTGCCCCGCTGTGTGGGTGCCCGGGCCTCAATTTCATCACATGTGGCTGGGACTCCCTCACCAGAAACTTTCTTTGCTCAGGCTCAACCGTGCTTGGGATTCTCTGCTGCTAAGTTGTCTGGAGTCCAGCATCAGGTCAAGGACTCTCCCTGCCACCACCATATTCCTGCAGCCTCACCCCTCCCTCCAAAACGTTGCAGACACGGGATGCGCAATCAAAGGAGATCGCAAAGGAGGCGAAGCGACGAGGAATATCATGTAGGCCATGCCAGGGAAATTAGCCTGTCAGCAGCAGCATATCTGAACCTCGAGCCCTGCCAACCTCGCACCTCATCTCCCCATCCCATTACACTCACCACCTGTCGGGGCCTACCTGGGTGGCAGAAGAGGAGCGAGCGCTACTCTCTCTTGATCGAGCCTCCCGCACCTGTCAGGGGATGTCGGTTGATGGACGGTTGGAGGTTAGCGCTGCATGTGCAGGGTGTGGCAGAGGCGGGAGTGGGGCATGAGGGGGCAGGGCAGACCCCACTCCCGCCCACTGCCAGAGCTCACAGACAATGTAAATAGAAAATGGATCCACCCGCGTCCTGTATGGGAAGCCACATTTTTGGGTTTTTTTTAAATATAAACAAAAATCCGGATCTTTCCCTGTGCTTCGGTGCCACTGAACTGGCAGGAAGTTATCGACTGACAGAGCTCAGGCCCTGCTTCGTAACGGCGAAGTGACATTGACATTATTCATCTCTTACGGTACATGTATTACATACACTGGTTGGCCTTCTGCCCCAAACAAAAGAAAGGATGTACTTTCACCTCAACTTTAAACAAAGAATTCTCGACGGCGGACGGGCCCCATTTTATTTTGTTGTGATTGTATGTCATCATTGAGCTGTGTCATTGAACAACAAACAAAAAAAACACAAAGTGTTTAATGTCCTCTTAAACCCTTTGAGTTATCAGAGCACAAAACCTTTTATAATCACGTCGTGTCCCCAATTATAGAGGAGGAGGCAGACTAGACTTCCATGTTCAGAAGTTGCCTTTTGTTGCCTTTTCAAAAAGGTGGGACTTTTACAAATGGTGTGTATGTGTGTGTGTGTGTAAAGAAAAACAAAAGAGAAAAAAAATCTTGCCAATATAAGCTTTAGACACAAAGAGTGTTACCGCACAGTCTGATCACAGCACTTTCAACATTAATCTGACATAAGCCATTACTCATGTCATTGGCCCAAGCGGGCAGCCAGCTAAATCTGTACTTCTTTCCTTCATCGTAATACCACAGAAACCAAGGCTTGGGATGTAGTCCTACTGAAACCTGCTCTGTGCCCTGAGTGCAGAGGGCCCTAACATGGAGGGCCCACCCGGTGAGTGTCGAAGACTAAATCTGAGTCGCTGGTGTGGAGAATCCAAGACTGTGTGTTGGGGGTTGTGGGGGGATCCCAGGTGAGTCAGGCCGTAGCACAGAGAGCACCTTGTCCAAGGCAGACTCAGTGCTTCTGGTGAGGAGGAGCAGAGATCAACTCTGTGTTAGTGATGAAGAGGATTTGACACTGCCCAAACGTGGATGGCAGCCTGCACTGCCCAGATGAAAACCCATTAAAACGTGATGCATACTGGTTTGAGGCATCTTACAATCTTCAAAATGCATGACCAGTATGTTCCTTTCCAAGTGTTACTGGGATTTTCTTTTTAACTAGTTTTCCCTTCTACATGGTGTCTGGTGCTGAGGTCAAACTCCACTTCCATGGGTTTCCTGTTAATGCTGACATGGTCAATCTTGATGAGCAGCCAATGCAGTCCTGTGTAGAGAGGTGAGTATGTATCTGAATGCTTATATCTGTTCACAATACAGTCACAGATGCATCACAATGATATCTTCACAGCCCCTAGCACAGTCACCTCTGATTAAGTGTTCAACATCCCATTTTAACTCATCAACACGCTCCATGGGCACACCAGCTCTCTCACAGTGATAGGGTCAGTACATGGTGCAACCGACATAATGGTAGGAACACTCAGTGTATCTGGGGAGAGAGAGAGAGATGGAGTTGACAGGCTGGATTTTCATCCCCAAGGAGTTGGGAAATTTCCCTGCCCAGCACAACTGCCTCAAGATAAAGTGCCCTGAATGGCATGATTTTAATCCTGGGGTGGGGGTTGCATTGCAAATGTGGAATGGAACTGGGCTAATCATGCTTGGACACAGGTCAGGGTCGATCATGGACTGACGAGTGCCAATACCTTGAAACTTCATCCCAGCACTTTTGTTAAATATTTGACTCTCTAGCCCTCCTACCTCATCCTCCATTCCCCACGCCCTCCTGTCCACACCTCCATGGCCTCATTAAATCCATGCTAACTGACCCAATATCCACCATGTGGATACCTTGGGAGCCATGTTGAGATCAAATATAGATATAAATATTGATTACAGATCACAGACAACCATAAACGTGATGCCATTTTAAATGAACATTTCCATTAATGAAAGCCCACTGAATATTATCTAAGCTCTCAAGTACTTAATCCCCATAAAAACAAGCAGATTTTTACTCATAAGCACATGCCAAAGACAGCAAATCTTTCAATAACTTCTTGATGCTGTCAATCAAATTTCCAACTTGAAATAAATCCCTGACCACCACAACTTTACTGCTGCCATCACCACTACCCAATAATCATAGGTTGTGGGAAACAGCAAATGATGAATAATAATAGCCCTTGGGTTGATGTGAACAAATGGCTATTGTAACTTCCAGAACCTTTTTGATTACTCTCATTGACACATGAAAGTTTCTTTTTCATATTTTGTTTAAAGAGCTGGGGTTTTAAGCACCTTCGTACCTTGAGATTTTTTTTAAAAACATCACTGACGCAAGCAGGCTTTTTTATTTTAGAAAGCTAAAAGCAGGCACCTTGCTGCAGGGTTTCTAATTTTTCCACGTTCAATCTCACACACACGCAGGAATTGCATGTTCTATGACGAGTGTGAGTCTCAGGTGACATGCATCGAATTGTGCGCAGAGCTGCCGGTCCTGAGACAAATGGCCAATTCTAAGCACCTGCACATGCCAAACCCACTGTACACACCAAGCATATAACAGAAGCCCACTTTAAACCCCATATCACACCCTACCAGTGATGAAGGAAAAGGCAATCAAGCTGACTCAACATGGTCTTAAAGCAAAACCGAAGTAGCAGACCCTTCATTTTAAATGATTCTGTACACTTTTAATTCTTAATACAAAGTAAAATTACAAAGGGCCAGGCAATATTTGAAATATTGGCTTATGATCTGATTTTTTATACTAATATATTACATTTAATGTATATTGAATGTGATTAGAAAGAATGGCTGTCAATGGACGACGAGCTGGTTAATATATTTTCTGTTTATTTATTATGTATTCTACAGACTAATATATAAAATGGAAACATTGGTTGTTGTATGTGTGACTACAGTCTGGTAATTACCATGTACAATCAGACTTCAGATGCAATTTCTTTTGGGGGGAGAGGGGTGGGTGTATACATTCTGCTTACATTGGTTCAGATTTGAGATGAGGTGGTTTTCACATGCCAGGTGGGAGCTGGTCACTTATAACGTATCCCGTTCTGGGGATGGAGCAAGGATTTGCAAGGAAATGCGATACAAGGGAAGAAAGAGGGAGGCACTCAATACTCAGAGAGAGAGAGAGGTTGTACATTTCTACCAGTGTAGGAAAGGGGTGTTTTCAAGCCTGAATACCTTAGCTCTACTTGAAATTGTGATATCCCTGATCTGCAACATAAGGAAGATTCCTTATCTGAAGTACTGCACAAATTCTCCATTGTTAGAGGTTCATCTTTCTAATTCAACCTCATCTGTTTGCTCCCCCTCCTCATCATGTTGTACATTTCTCAAGTTCTGAACTTTTCCAGCCCAGGGTTCTGTCAGCACACTACTGGTTTAAGGGTTAATCCAGCCCAGGGTTCTGTCAGCACACTACTGGTTTAAGGGTTAATCTTTTATTTATTGTTCCTGCCAACTCCATTCCTGTCCTCCAGTATTTATTGCCTCACTATAACCCTGTGGAGAATCTAAAGGAACTGGGATGTTTCTCCTCAGAGCAGAGAAGCTCCACTGGCCATGCTTGTTTCTCACAGTGTTGGCTGTCCAGGGTGTTTTAAGATGGAGTTTTGGGACCTGGTACTTGATTGTGGCCTATTCGAGGACAGTCCTGTCATCACGATTGTATAACTTTTTAAAAAAAGACTGGAACTAGCTGTTTCTGCATTTTTTAAAAATACGTAAACAAGGATTTGTTTAAAAGAAGTGCTCAAAATGTCAAGGGGCTTTTGTAGAGTAAATGAAGAGGATTTTTTTCAGTGGCAGGAAGGTCAGTAATCAGAGAATGCAGATTCAATGCGATTTGCAAAAGAACCAAAGGCAACATGAGGAAACTTTTAATGTAGCCAGTTGTTATGGAATTTCCCACCTGAAAAGACTGTGGAAGCAGATTCAATAATAAATTTCAAAAGGGAATTGGATAAATACTTGAATTTTTTTTCTGATTTATTGTGAAAGAGCAGACAGGAAGTGGAATGAATTGGATCTCTTAGAGCTAGCACGGGCATGATGGGACCAATGGCCTCCTGTGCTGCATGACTGTATCTTCCATTCTCCTCTGGGTTCTGTACATTGCTTCCCACCTTGCTTGCTATGTGATACTTGAAGCTCCTCCCTTGTTTCTCTGTGTCTCCCTTGGTTCCCTCTATCCCACACTGTAGGGTGGGGCACCCCCTCACCTCATCGTGGAGCCACTTTGGCTTTGAATGTAGTCGAGGTTGGGGGTGCGGCAATTGGGAGGGGAGGTTGCAATGGCTCCACTGGCCATGCTTGTTTCTCACAGTGTCAGCTGTCCAGGGTGTGTAAAAATGGAGTTTTGGGACCTGGTACTTGACTGTGGCCTGTTCCAGGACAGTCCTCTCATCACAATTGTATAACTTTCATTAAAAAAAAGACTGGAACTAGCTGTTTCTGCATCATTTTTTTAAAATCAAGGATTTGTAAGAGCAAACTGTTTATTCATGTGTATAATCCGACTTCAGGAACCAAAAGAAAATTGGCAACGTGGTATGAATAATGTATGAAAGGAATAACATTGTAACTTCTTTAGTTTAAATATTGTACGTTTTAACACTGATATAACCAACTGCATTGTATACTGCAAAGAGCATATGTCTTGACATTGGGCTATCAACATCCCATTTTACATCTCTTTTCATTGAAATCAATAAGAATAAAAGGGATGGAAATTGACTGCCCACTCATTACAATTCACAAAATCAAAACTGATACAAGGAGTTTATACAAATTGTTTTAAAAACAGACTAGAGTCTGACGGAGTAACTGCTGTTGCATGTTGGAATCAGTTCTGGAGTTTATCCTGGTGTCCGCAAATGCTGCTACTGGTGCATGGGTGTCCTGGAGACAGTATCGGTGTGTGTTGGAGTTGGTAGGGTTTTTGTATTAGTTCACAGTATGGGAGCTTCAATGGCTTCTATTTCCCACTCTTAATGCCCACCCTTGAGTGGGTGGTGGTGAACTGCCTTCTTGAAACACTGCAGTCCAAATGGTTTGGGTTGACTCACAATGATGTTAGGGATACAGTTCCAAGATATTGTTCTAGCAACAATACACATAATGCAGTTCCAAGTCAATATAGCGAGTAGCCTAGAGGGTAACTTGCAAGTGCTGGCGTTCCCATTTATATAAATGATTTGGATGAGAAACAGGCATGGTTAGTAAGTTTGCAGATGACACCAAAATCAATGGTATAGTGGATATTGAAAATTAAAAGAGATTTTGATCAATTGGGTCAATGGGCTGAGGAGTGGCAGATCAAGTTTAATTTGGATAAGTGTGAGGTATGGCATTTTGGTAATACAAACAAGGACAGCACTTATACAATTAATGATAGGGCCCTTGGTAGTTTTGTAGAACAGACAGACCTAGGGGTTCAGGTACATAATTCTTTGCAATTTGCGTCACAGGTAGACAGGGTGACTAGGAAAGCATTTAGTACGCTTGCCATCATTGCTCAGATCTTTGAGTATAGGAGTTAGGATGTCATGTTGAGGTTGTACAGGAGGTTGGTGAGGCCTCTTCTGGAGTACTGTGTCCAGTTCTGGTCGCCTTTTATAGGGAAGGTATTATTAAACTGGATTGGGTTCAGAAAAGATTTATCAGGTCATTGCCAGGAATGGAGAGTCTGATATAGGAGGTTGAGGAGTGACCTTATTGAGGATCTTATTGATAGTTGATAATGGCATTCCCACCATTGAATCCCCACTGAAAGTCAAGGGACGATGGCTAGATTCTCTGTTGCAGAAGATGGTGATTGTCTATCATATGTATAGCAAGAATGTTACTTGCCACTTAACAGCATGAACCTGGTTATTGTTGAAATCTTGTTGGGTTTGGATATTGTTCATCAGAAAAGGGTCTAGGCCCGAAACGTCAGCCTCTCTGCTCCTATGATGCTGCTTGGCCTGCTGTGTTCATCCAGCCCTGCACCTTGTTGTCTCAGATTCTCCAGCATCTGCAGTTCCTACTATCTCTGGGTTTGGATATTGGCTGCTTCAGTATCTGAGGAATGGTGAATGGTGCTGTATGATGTGCAGTTATCAGTGAACATCTACACAGTTCTGCATTTAAAATGGAAGGAAGATCATTGGTGAAGCAACTTAAAATGGCTAGACCTTGGATACAACCTTGAGGAACCCTTGAATGCGGTCCTGGAACTGAGATGACTGACCTCCAACAGCCGCAGTTATCTTCCCATGTGCTAGAAGTGACTGCAGCCATTGGAGAGATTTCTCCCAGGTCTCACTGACTCCAATTTTACTTAGTTTCCTTGATGTCACGCTTAGTCAAACGCTTCCTTGATGTAAAGGGACATGACTCACTCCTCACCTCCGGAGATTAGCTCTTGTCATGTCTGGATCAAGTTGAAATGAGTTCTGGAGTCAAGAAATTTTAGCGGAACCCAAGCTGTGCATCAGTGATCAGATTATTGCTGAATAAGCAACTTCTTGACAGTAAAGTTGATGACACCTTCCAAAACTTTCCTGATGATCAGGTGTAGACAAATCGAGCAATAATTTGTTGGTTGGATTGTTTGTTTTTGTGTGCTTTTAGGGGAGGTGACAGCCCAATGGTGTTATCACTGAATTATTAATCTAGAGACCCATATAATGTTCTGGGGACCTGGGTTCGAATCCCACCATGGCAGATGATGGAATTTGAATTCAATTAAAACAAAAATCTGGAATTAGGAGTCTGATGATGACCATGAGTCCATTGTCAATTGTCAGGAAAAATCCATCTGGTTTACTAATGATCTTTAGGGAAGGAATGTGCCATCCTTATCTGGTCTGGCCCACACGTGACTCCAGACTCACAGCAATGTGGTTGACTGTTAACAGCCTGCTGGGCAATTAGGGATGGGCAATAAATGCTAGTTTAGCCAGTGATGACCCCATCCCATAAATTAATTTAAAAAAGGACACACCTGGGCAATTTTCCATATTGTGAGGTGGTTGCCAGTATTCATACTGTACTGAAACACCTCGGTTAGATTTGTGGCAAGTTCTGGAGCCTTCAGTACTGCATTCAGGATGTTGTTAGAAACCATGGTCGTGGCTATATTCTATACGCTCAGCTATTTCTTCATCCCATATAGAATGAATTGATTTGGCTGAAGATGGGCATCTGAAATGCTGTGGGCTTCAGAAGGCTGAGGTGAGCATCCAATTGTTACTTCTGGCTAAAGAGGTTGCAAACGCTTCCACTTTGTCTTTTGCTCCTGTGGGGAGTTACCCTTCCTCGCTTGATGGTGATGATAGAGTGGTGGATATATCAGGCCACGGTTACCCATTGTATGGACCTTTTGCTGCCGATTGCACACAGTGCCTCATGGATACCCAGTCTGGAGCTGCTAGATCAGATCACCGTCTATCCTACACAATATAATGGGATGTAAATAAAGATCTTTGTCTATACAAGATCTTTGGAGGTTACTCTTAGCAATTTCATCACAGACAGATGCATCTGCATCAAATAGACTGCACAGTTCCAGTAGGTTTTTCTCTCGTGTTGCTTCACTTGTCATGTGCTGCAGAGCCAGCCCACTAGGACTTAACTGGCTCAATCAGTAGTGGTGTGACTGAGTCACTGTTTATAATGGACATTGAAGTTCTCCATCTAGAACACATTCTGTTTCCTTTGCCACCATCAGCTATCCTTCCATGTGGAGGAGTAATCTGTTAAGGGGAGGGACTTGGATGGTAATCAGCAGGAGATTTCCTTGCCAATGTTTGATCTAATGCCTTAAGACTCCATGGGCTGTGGAGTCAATGTTGAGGACTCCCGGGGTAAGTCCATCCTGAATGTATACCGCTGTGCTGCCACCTCTGCTGGGTTTGTCCTGCCAGTGTGAGAAAACATACACAGGAGTAATGATGGAAAACTCACAGACATAGCCTGTAAGGTATGTTTCAGTTCAAGACAGCCTGACTAGTCTGTGCGATAGCTTTCCAAATTTTGGCACAAATTTCCATATATTACTGGGAGGACTTTGCAGGTTCAACTGACCAGAGTGTACCTGTCTCATTGCAAGTATCCAGGTTGTGCCACATGGATTGATTCTCATTGTGGTTTACCGTAGTGGTTTAATACAACTGAGTGACAGAGGGTAGTTAAGAGTCGACCACATTAGTGTGGGTCTGGAATCACATGTAGGCTAGACCAAGTAAGTACAGCAGATTTCCTTCCCTAAAGGACATTAGTGAATCAGCCAGGTTTTTATAACAATCATTACAGATTCATTTAATTAATCCAGTTTAAACCATTCCCACATCCCCTGCCATACTAGGGTCTGAACTTACGTTGCAGGAGCATTGGTCCAGTGTCTAGATTATTAATCAAGTAACGTTGAGTCTATGCTACCATTCCTATGTCTGCAGGACTGAGTGTTGGTAGATTCAGAAGTTGGGTGAATGTGTTTTAGAATCAGTGCTGTATTGGTATTGATGGATGTTGGAGCTGGTTTGCCAGCTGTGTGTATTTGTTGAGGGAGCTGCTGCAGTTCAGTGTTAACTTAGGACAGATTTGCCATGTGTTTCCAGTTAAGGGCGGCTTTAATTCCTTCAGTTAACCCCAACTTCCCTGAACTATACATCCTGCTTAAGTTAGTACATCAAGAGTTTATAATGTCTGTTTTCTGTTGCCTTCCTTGGAGCAGAAAAAGATTGAGAGGGGACATGATTGAGAATTTTAAAATTTATGAGGTGCATAGATAAGGTAGGCAGGAAGGCACTTTTTCCTTGATGAAGGGATCAATGACATGGGGACATAGATTTAAGGTAATGGGCTGAAGATTTAGAGGAGATGTGAGGAAAACATTTTTCACCCAGAGGGTGCTGGGAATCTGGAATTCACTGCCAATTAAGGTGGTAGAAACTAAAATCGTCAGAAGATTTGAGAAATTTTTAGATGTACACTTGTGATGCCAAGGCAAACAAGGCTACAGTAAAATAAGAATAGAATGATTAGGTGGGTATTTTTGACCAGCAAGGACTCAATGGATTGAAGGGCCTTTTTCTGTGCTGTAGACCTCTATGACTGTATAACTACTTTGTACAGATGGTATGCATAACATATCACATTCTCACTCTTCCTAAGTAACAGAAAGCGCCAGCCTATCAGAACTATGCAGAAAGTCCAATAAATGTATTTCCAAGTTCAGAGATAGTTGCTGAACCTTCCTCTCCTATGGTCACTCAACCAGGATTGTTCCCTCCATTGTAGGTAACAAAACCCAGGTGAACACAACAATTTTAAGAAGCTATCCTGAACCTGGTGATTACTGTACATCAATAAGTAAGGAAAATGATAATGGCATTAAAGTTCTGCTTAGACAGTATTCCCGACACAGCATGATCCACAATCAGAATTCTGA